GGAAGGAAGACAGAAAAAGAAGCTGTGAGAGTCCCAGCAGTGATAACAAGGCCTTTCCCATGACCCCTCCCTCTGGACAGGAACTGAAGCCTGGAAATAGAATGCAGTGGTTGCTATGGCAGGGTTATGAAAAAGATGGGACGACAGTAAGAAAGGAGGAAAATTAAAATGAGAGGAAAAATAAGATAATGGGGAAAAAATAACACAAAGCAGGAGGGAACCAAGTCGGAGAATTCTGACTCAAGTGTGTGTATGAGTATCTGTGTGTGTGTGTATGTGGTCTACGAATAGCTATACTTGAGGGGACATTTTTCATGTTTTCTTTTTTGTTTTGAGATTGTAAAAGTCTTCCCTAGTAAAGAGAATATTTTGATGAGTTGGGATTAGAATTATGGCCTGGTTAGGCTAAGGATTAAGGATTTGTGTGTGTTACCTTCATAAAGTTGAGCGTACTGTGGAAACCCTGCTGCTCTAAGCCAGTCACAAGCCTCCTTCGCTTCAATCTCTGTAAAACAAAACACACAAAAATGTGTCACAAATGTGTAAAAACAATAGAAATGCAAACAACAAAATAAAAAGTAGCTGGAAAAGTCATAAAAAAGGGGAAAAAACCTTAAGTAAAAGACAGGAATAAAGAAGAGAATGGAGATGGATGAAGTTTTACAAAATGGGGAAGAACATTTTAGAAAGACACTGTCCTTTGGGAATTTTTGGAATGAAGACATTGGAAAATTGGAAACGAGCCAGATAGGAAGGTGAAAGTTAAATACCCCACAACAGAGAAGAATGGTCAGCTTTTAGTTGGTACTGCACATTAACGTAGCAGACCTTTAACGTGGAACCACACCCTGCTGCTGCTGCTGCTGCTGCCCCCAGCATCATGAAGGGCTTTACAGGCATTTTCTTTTTACTGCTTTTTCCGCTTGCATAAGTCGTGCTCAGAATCCTGACAACTTTACAACCTGCATGTGCGCGTGTTGTCTGTGTTTAGAAATGGTGACAAAATATTATTTGCCAGTATATTTGAATGTAAGATACAGAGATTATAATCTCTATAACAAGGGCTGCAGCAAAAGATTTTGATTATTCAGTCTGTGGATAATGGAATAATGCATGTAGTTTACATGCATTTCAAATATGTTTTTCAAATAAATGTGGAATTTATTTTATATATGTACATCACAGTTATCAAAATGAGAAATTAAATTAAATTGAATTAAATTAAATTAAACCTTCATTGATACTACAAACAAAAAAACATTAAAAAAAAAAGTAGAGACAACAAATACAGATATTTTAAATATGAATATAGGATTAAGAAAAAAAAAATAGAGCCTAAAGAGCAGCTACCAATACAGATACATATATTTACATATATTTTACTTATATCTAATACAGTACTAAAGTAAAAAAAATACATATATTTATATAAATACACATACATACACACATTTATGTACTGTATATATGTGTGTGCATGTATTTATATATACAGTATACATATATATATACATACTTATATATTATATATGTATATATATGTGATCAACAGCGATCAACTTCACAGTATAAAAACTAAATCCTCAGGCACAAAGACTTCTCTCAGTTATTCCAGCTCCACAACTATGAAAGCCACATGTTTCTGACTCCACTCAATGCTTTTCTCATTCACTCTCACTTCCCTCATTCATTGGTGTTAAGGTGCCGGCATTGAACGACAGCGACGCCTGAGAAACACTGGGGACAAAGTTCAGCCTGGCAATAAAAAGCCTCTGTTTTCACCATCAGAGATGAGAACGCTCACAGGAAATGATCCTCTCACCGCAATCCAGCAATTACCATCCCTCCAGCTACATTCTCGGCATATCTGCTGCGTCCAAATCACACGAGACAAGATGAGGCTCAAATCACTAAAAATAAAGATTTTTATGCAAGAGTCTGGAAATAGAAGGAGAAACTCCAGATGGAAAAGCCAGGAGAGGCAGAGAAGTGACAACTTACTTGACGCCTTCATGGTGCGGCCGATGACATGCTGCTATTTCGATCTCCTCTGCTCAGACTGACGCGTCCTCTCTGCCCCGTGCCCACCATCCCCTCACTCCAACACTCTCCATCGAGAGGTGACTCTTTTTGCTTTCTCCCTCACTGCCTCTCAAACTCTCGTGTTTACAGCTGTGCCTCCCTCCAGCAGCCAGCCCCATGCAGCTTTTCTCTTCCCTCTAATTTTCTCCTCAGCTTCTCTTCAGCTTTGTTAGGATCCACTAACAACATCTCTATATTTCACATTTTCTTTCTATTCACGGCTCTCAACACTTTTCTGAATCACTCTCCTCTTTTTTCCCATTTCTCATCTACATACTTTCACCCTGACACATCCACATCCTTAACTTCACTTACATCAAACACAATGCTTAGTTACCGGACTGGCTGTTTTCCAGGGTCAGATTCACCTCAAGCGGCAGTTCGACCTCCTGGCCACAAGTCTCTGTTCCTCTGATCTCGATCTTTTCCTATGCATTTGACGTTCGTAACCATCTACCACATCAACACGTACGATTACACACTACATTAAACACTCCAGCGGCACAGAGAGAATTAGCAGCGTCCAGATGTTGGCCCCAGTGACTCGGAGAATGCAAAGAGAGGAGAGGAGACAGACAGCTGAGGATGGGAAGGGCAGCAGAGAGGGACAGGCCCCGTGAGAAAACCACAGGAAGGAAGACGAACGCGTCATCACGTCCCATTTTCATTGTAAAAACTCCACGCTAACAGAAAACAGATAGGAATTTGAATTTCTGTTTTTTTTTTTCTTTTTGTTTAATTAATACAAACTCCAGAGCTGAGGATTGGGATAATCTGTAGGTGAATGTCTAAGTTCTGGTTTAGGGTCCAACTGTGACTCGAGGACAAGGTTATTCTGGTCTACAACCAAAACAAAAGAACAGAATATTGGACAGATTAAGCTATTCTTGATGTTTCTGGTAATTTAGCTAGTTCTGAACATTTTTTTTTTCTAACTAAACTTCCATGTTGACAACTCTGATTAACTTTTAATTTATTTTTAGTTTTATTTTTTATTTAATTGTGTTTATTCACCAGGTGTTTTTAACTCAATCTTTGTTTTACTTACAACTTGTGTGGAAACCTAGTGAGAAACAAAAACATTTGAATAGCGAGTGTTTTTTTATAGTAATTTGACTTAAAGTTATATTTATATATTTGGCTTGCTCTGTCAAAATACTGTTAATTATATTAGAGTATTTTTTAAATCTACTACATATATACATATATTATACATATATTTCATATTTCTGTGTTATTTCAACCGATTTTCACAAATGTATTTATTTGTACCTACAAAGTTATTTTTCATGAATCTTTAAAACTTTCAACAACACTGCTTCTACACAACACTACAATTCTGACAGTTTACTTCTTCCCGTCTGACAACAGCATACTCATGCAGCCTTCAACCATATGCTCTCATCAACTATATTACATGTACTTTGACTTTTCAAGTGCATTGAAAGGTAATCCCACCTAAACCATTGTTGCCTTATTAGCAGATTAGGCAAAAAGAAAGCACAGAGTCGTGTACTTCAACATGGTTGCTGCGTGTTGGCACAGAACCGCTTTGTTTGTGCCAAAATGTGCCAAAGCTCCTGTCACTGTGGGAACAAAGCAGCACTATTCATCCAAGCAGAATTTAATCAAGAGATTAATTAGTACACAAACATATTATTACTGGACCAGGAAACACACACATTCACACACAGTCGGACTGAACTAATCCTCGCTGCCCACTGAGTTTAAACCATTCCCTGGTGCATTCATGCTGTGGAGAATATATGACCAACAGCCAGCAAGACAGTGGAGCTGCAGCAGGGAAGGTCAACAGATGGTATGTGTATCACAGAGCGTGGCTGTGTGGATGTGGACGTCCCTGGGACAAAGGGACCGTCAGGTAATTACATCATGTGTTGCCGTCTTTGTTACATAACGCGCTATGTATTACAAGCACCTCGGCATCCTTCCTTTTTTACGACCGTGTGCTGTCACATGTTTTCCTCTCGCTTCCAGTTCCCCCACTTCACCCAGCCGCGCCAACCCTCACTCCCTGACGACTTGTTTCTCACTGTTTTGTCTGTGAAGCTGCGGATTTCAAGGACCTTAAGTACCTCGAAGATGACATCATTTCCTGCTGTGGATTTCCCATGAGTCGAGATCGGCATGTGAGCTAAGAACAGCAACAGGAAGTCCTCAGAGTGACCGTGTCAGAGCAACCGTGCTGGAGTAATGGTAATGAGGCACAGTGATGGATAAGGATGGCGCTGAACTCAGAGAAAAGTTTGATTTAATAAACGATAGACTTCAAATTTGTTTGGTTCTAAACTTTTTCAGTTGAAATAAGTAGGTTAGGAAATAGAGAAGAGATAATAGTTTAAAGCATGACAACACACACTCATACACACTCTCTCTCTCTGTCAAATACACACACACGCACACAAACGATGCCTGGAAACCAGCCATGTTCCCACATAAGCTAAAGCACTTAGTCCTTCATGTTTAAGGGTCAAAGCAACAACAACAACAAAAAAAAGTAGAAGTCAGAATAAGTGATGTGAAAGAGAAGGAAAGTAAGGAGGGAGTGAGGGAGTGAGGGAACGAGGGAGTGATGTTAAAGAGCAGTCCTTCTGTGCTGTCTGCTACAGCTTATCTGCACGGATGTTTCTCCCTCAGGAACAGACCAGGGAACACATCAAGGACCGTCAGGACAGCTGGAAGTCAACAGCTGACCATAATCACAGCACTGGCATTAGAGTGACAGTTAAACCAATGACGTGATGACGTGATGAGACCGCATGTTATGAAAATGCGTACGGTTATATTCTGACCGCAAGTTATGAAAATGCGTACGGTTATATTCTCTTTTATCCAGTAGAGGGTGTTAGAGCAATGTGTGACAGCATACTGTCCAGACCGTCACTCTAATTCCACTGCTGTGGCATCAGTGACTATTATTCACCTTTGCAGCATTGGCTTTTTGCAGTATTTGCCCAACATGCATTTCAACACCAGTTTCTTCTACACAGACAGACAAACACACAAAAATGAAGTGATCAAATGATAGCACTTACTAATGAAAGCAATCAAATGTTTCCTCAGGCACTGTTGGCCAAGTCCCACTAAAAGTCTCATTAAATTCCAAAAGAAGCAGATTTTAAAAGTTTGCACTAGTTGGTTGTGATGTGAGTTACAGAGTTAAACCTCCCCTGAATTTAACATTTAGAAATACAGTTCGTTTGTTGGCCTTTATCCCAAAATTGATTATAGTTCATATACTTTGGTCATTCATTTAACACTATATTTGATAAACAAACAGCCTGGTAAATGCTTGCCTGCCTATCTATACAAGTGTAAAAGCAGCGTCTCACCACCGGCTCTGTTGAATTATAACTGTTTGACAAGGAGCAAACACTGTTTTTTTAGTCCAAACAATTAAGGTCTGTCGCCATCTAGAGTTTATACAGTTGTGAAGAGATTTACGAGGTCACGAGAACAATGCACAAAGTCCATGAGTGGAAACTACTGGTAATCATGCTACCAGCTTTGGACTTGTTTAACAAATTGTTGCACATATCACAGTCTACCATGTATCAGAAACTGATTTCTGATTCCGTACTCCGCAGGTAGGAGGATGTACAGAAAATCATTCATTCATTCATCTTCTAATGTTTCAGAGATGTAGGCAGGAGTGGGACTGGAGCCAAGCCCAACAACCTTAAGAGAAATATTGTAAAAATTACATAAATTAAATAGTAAAACAAATGCACTAACTAAAATACATTTGTTTGTCTAAAAATAAAAAAACAAAAGAAATATTCAATTTGCTGTCGTGGTACGTTTATGTACATACACACACAATGGGATTTGTCCATTGTCCACCGGAATTTAAACCATCAACCCATTCTTGGAGAAGCAGTGATTGCTGAAAGCAACCAGGGGGCAAGGGAATTGTCGCCTTTCAGGGTGGGATTCCAAACCCATTCCCCTCACTCTCAGCCAAAGACTTTGGTTGGTATTTCATCTTAGACAACAGACCAACTTTCACAGTAATGTTGTTACCACAGAAATTCTTAAATATTTTTAGATATCTTCTGTCCTTTACTGTATGTTACCACTTAGCTCCATCACCAAACTGACTTCTTTCCTCAACTATTTGGGGGCCTGGATCGGAATTTTTCCATTTGCCACTCAGAGCACAGGTTAAAACTGTCAGTCACACATACAGACCACATATGTGCCTGAATAAATCTAAATGGAGAGAGAGGGGACGGTTAGTCTCAGATATGAATCAAAGTCAGTTGCTTTTAATCAGAGTCAGATGGAGATTGGTCACTGAGTTCATTTTTTATTTTAGGACAGTCCAGCAGCTGTTGAAACGTGGAATTCAACATGGGAAAGAGACAGAGAGAGAGGGGGAGAGAGTGCAGTGTGTCAGTGAAAGTGTAATAATCACGCAGCACAGGCATAAACTGCAGTGTGTCAGTGAAAGTCTAATAATCACGCAGCACAGGCATAAACTTGCTCTCCATCTACATTCCTCTCCTGCCATAACTGTCATCTCTCTTCCTGTGATGTTTTCGTGAGGCGGCACACACCTAACACAAGACTTTACAAGTCTCTTCTTCTTTGTCAGACCACAGTCATCAGGGTGAATCAGAATTAGTTCTATGTAATGTCAGCATCAGTCGATCAGGTCTGGGCTGAAACTGACACAGGACAAACCTCAGTCCTACAGGGAAGCCAGAGAAACATTTCAAAACCAAACCCTGTGGCGGTGCCACTGGGAGCGGGATGTGTTGCGTAGTCCTCGGGAAATGTGCGTCATGTGACAGGAAGAAGAGGAAGTTACCATAGAATACAATGCTAAAGAGTATGGCAGAAGACAAAAATCCCTTCAGGGCCTGCGTTGATTTCTCTTCGATTTATGAAAGACATTTTTGGAGAGAAAATGGCTCCATATGTCCAACCGTAAAAACAGGAGGAAGTGGGAATACTGGCAGTGTTAGGTGTGTACGCTCCTGCCAATAAGCACAGTATGTTGAAACACAAGATAGATATTCAACTTCTACTGTCGAAGACCTGTTTATTCTTTTTCCACCAGGGAAGGAAAAAATACTGAAAAAATGATCAGTCAGGACGTCAGCGACTCACATGGAAAAACGTCAACTAAAGCCTTTGAATGTGTACTCTGATTTCTATCTACATTTGATGTAGATACCAATGTCTGTTAGCTAAATATGGTGACCCACGTCAGCAAGTGATTCATTAGTCAACAATTCGTAGCAGCGTTGATTATTCAGAGCAATTACACTACAGCCACCACTGAGTAACAATTATCGCATTTGCTCTTGTAAAAAGAATAGTTTGGAAATTAAAACAAATCACTGCTGAGCAGACAGTCCATTTTAATTCATCCATTTTTCACTATTAACTTTAAAAAAAAAAGAATATTTTGATGAATATTTAAACATGACGTTTAGATGGGGATTTATAAACGGCCACATTACAGTTTTAATTTATCCATGTACTCATCTAATAAATCTTTAACAGCCAGAATAAATTTGGTTAATACCTTTAAATTATGTATTATTATCATCCGTACTGAGGTTTGAATCAGAATATCCTCGCGTCATCACTCCATACATTCATTTCTTCAGACTTTATCCTGTTGACTCCAAGGTTACTGTATGTGATTGTGCTTAAAGTACTACAAAGTGATAAAATATTTAATACTTAATGGTATAGTGTTGAATTGGTCGTTGGAAATAAGAACAAAAAAAAAAAAGCTAACCACTACTGCAGTGGGACTTTCACATATTAATATTAAAATCAAAAGCTATAAAGCTATAAATATATCCCATTTGTCAATTTGTCAAGAACAAATCAATGAGTCACAAATCTAATTACACTAACGACCCACACTGTTGTGTAACACTCTCTCTTTCTACCTTGGGCCAGACGCCGTAGCAGCTGCTTGCGGGCAATAATGCGTGACAGCCGGAGGGCTGAGCGTCGTCGAGGGGTGCCCCCTAGTCTCAGGTAGTAGTCCTTGCAGTCAGGTGTCATGGCCTCCAGGCAGGTGCTCTCACTGGTGCTGTCGCTATCACTGTCAGAGTTACTTATGTTGCCCTTGGTACAGTGACTTATACCGTCCTCCTTGGTTTCCATATTTCTGCCGTCTGACCCATCGGTACCAGCGACAGTGTCAGTGACACCGACGGTCACCGCTGCACACAGGGGCTGCTGGATTTTATCCTCCATCACATCATCTTCCTCTCTGGTTATACCCACTGGGCTTGTATTGTCCAATGTTGAATTCACTGTCGCTTCCATCCCTGCAGTATTTGCTGGGTCTGCACCCCCACAGTGTGCTGAGGCAGCAACACTCTCCAAGTTTACTGCAGTGTCCACAGCGTCCATAGTACTCAAAGTGCTGTCCTCAGCCTCCAGAGTGTACTCCTATAATCCTCGCTATTCAACGCGGCTTCTTCTCCTCTCGTCTTGATGTGTTTGTGTGGGAACACTCCTTGTGAATTCCTGCTTCTAACATGTCCTCACTGGAAGCTCGGTCATGGCCCCTCCAGCCTGCCTCCTCCTTCTCCTCCTTCTCCTCCCTTCAGCTCATCACACCCAAACAAACACACATCCTTCATCTAACCACCTGACGTCAACAACAGACTGACTTCTTCCCACATGCGCGTGACACAAGGCGCTCGCTTGACAGCTGAGATGAGAGTACAATTCACAAACTTCTGCTTCCCAAAAGTTTTTTTTTTCTTGACCACCACATGACCATTAACGACAGCATGATGGCGTATGCTAACAGCGCCCAACTTCCTGACACAATGTAATACATTCTAATAGAGTATAGTACACGCTCTTTGTGTACTTTGGGGGATGACCAAAGATCATTGTGTGGGATAATAGGAGATGTGATCGTACAGTTCTGGAGGAAAAGCACCGTCCCGATGTGACGAGGGAAAGGGAGGAACAATAGTGAGTAAGTGGGTGTGTGAGACTCTGCTGAGGAATGTATGTAGGACCAACACTATTGTTGCTAATGCAGAGTAGCACTGTAATGCTATTGAGAAATGTTCTCTGAAACCACGCCATCAAGTGACACTCCATGTCACATGACGTTTATCACAACCAAAACACTCACATTCCCTGCATGGGCCTCAGATAGCAACAGGAGCAGAAAAAAAAAAAACATGCCTGCGATATGGCAGCTGCGGACAGCCATGCTAATTTCTGTAATGTGTGACTGAATGGTAGCGTGCCATAAATGTACAGAAGAAGCAAAAAAAAAGTGTTTTTCAGGATCAGCAGCAGCAGAAGATGCAGGAGATAATCTGAATCCATTCGTGGATTCAAGGTAAGGGCCAGGGGGTAACAGCTTTATTAGGTCTCACGTGAAAAGTAGGTCAAGGCAGAGTCAGTTTTAGGTCAGCAGCATCCCACACACATACACCTGATCTCCCAGCAGAGAGGGATTTAATCTGCTGGTTGTACAGTGTCGTGGGTGTGAGTGACGTCTCTGAAATCACTGAAATGTGCACGGATGGCATGGCGCAACTCAAACCCCCGTAGAGAAGTGCAGCACTTAATCTGTCATTTGGTTGGATTTGACTTGACTGCCCTCTTGAGGCAATCTGTAAAAAGTAACGCGTAATCAAACAGCAGACGAGAACACAGCATTGAATAAACATTACCACAAGAAAGACAGCGACGTGTGTGTGTGTAAAAAGAACTGGCACATGATGGGGCTGCAGTTTGCACTAATAGAATCACCAGTATCAATTACAGCCAGGACAAACACTAGAGTCCAGTCACAGACCAAAATAAGACTTTGTTTCTTTTCAAAACAATGGATTTTAGTCAGCCCTGTGTGGACATAAATGACTTGGACTACGTGGTCAGGGTATTTCCAAACCTTTAGGACCCAGACTGTCATTTTTCGGTTCATTTCAACAGTTCTTTAACTTGGACGCAGCGGAGAACATTTTATCAGAGGCTGTAAGATTAAATACGACATGTCTGATGTGTGCGACTACAGTAAAACATTATATCATAGATTGGCAATAATCCCCATTAAATGAATCTCAGAGTCGATAAATGGTATTCCATTTCTGTCTAAACAAAGGAAAATGGCGTGGGTTTCTGGTACCGTTACTAAAAGATTATTCTAAGATGAAATCTCAGTCTTTTTATTCCAGAGATAATCTATAAAAGCGCAATGCTGAAAATTATCTAGGCCCTGAGAATGAAAGACTTCTTTGCTCCAAGACCTTCAGCTCATCTGTTTTCACTCACGGTCATTCCTGAATACATTCACAAAAACAGAAAAAGTAATTAAGGGTACGAAGGTAAACTAATGAAAACAGAGACTTGTTGGAAAGAGGTGATTCAAGGTTAGACCTGTGTGCTTTCTAATAACACTCCGACACACAAACCCAAGCCACGAACGCAAACAAATCCCTACACACAGAGGAAGGGAGTTCTGACCCTGGGCAATGAAAACCTGTGGGATATATTTATGGACTTACTGTCACAGAATCTGACACAGATTATGAAGGAGAAGCATAAACGTAACCAAATAAACAACTATATTTGGTTGTTTTTTTGTGCTGTTTTTTTTAAACTAGTTTCATAACAAGTAAAGACTAAAATTTAACTAACTGTTTACATGGAACATTATGATAAGCCTCTGCCTTGGTAACAACAAGGCCAGATGTGCACATCTGAGGGATTCTCTCTCTTCACAATGTGATCCTGACAGATGTGAACCCTGTGCCTTCTGAGCTGATTGGTTTAGCAGTCAGCGAGTTGACAGGAGAGAGGGTGAGGAAGAGAGGGACTGATGTTGGTTTAAGGGAGTTAGGAAAACTGGGATGAAGAGGGAAGAAATAAAGGAAAGTCTATCACTGAAGAAGCAGGTGATGCTCAATCAAAATCAGTTCCTTCATTATCAAACCAACCCTTGTCTGTGTCAATTGCAGGTTAATGTTGTTGAGTCCATTTGGTATTAAGCATCTCTTGTGTGTCCCAGCTGTAGGACAGACATGTTTTATCATGTTAAGTAATGCTGCAGTTTTGCTTGAAACAAATAAAAACAAATAAGAGATGACCATGATGTTGTTTCAGAGAACTAGCCTTTTTAAAAAACAAATCAATTTTAAAATAAAACATATTTTTTTAATGAAATTAACCAAGAAAGGTTAAATATATATATATATTTAGTATATAATGTAATTTGCACATAGCCTATACCCATACATAAGCACACTGGATTAAAATTTACCATAATATATACCATAATACCATTAACTGATATATAGTATAGACAAAAGAATCCACAATAATTATAATATCCACATTTCCAGTTCTGTCCCTAAGGGGGCAGCACGTGGGCCAGGGCTCTACTGATAAAGCCAGAGTTAAAAACATGGAGGATGTTATGATGTTATGGGTGACCGTTTTGGATTGCCACCTAAGAATTACCCTGGCCATGTCTGGCAACAATAAAAAGTGGTGGTGTGTGCAAATAAACCCTAACCCAATGCTGTTTCTTTATTAGGTTAAACAGTTAAGTCTGTTCCTCTTGGCCAAAGGAGAATTCTGATAGTTCTTCTTTGAGAATGAAGACAACTTTCTTTGGTGTAATTTCAGCTACTGCATGCCAGATGTGGTCTGAAAGGCTATTTATTCTGCTGTATACATGTGCCGTCTCCTCAACCAGTAGCACATTTTGCTAAAGGGCAACAACCATCCCAAACTGGTGAAGATCCACCTGCAGCTCCTAAAATAACTCCAATCATTGGCTGCTCTGACATGACAGGCTCTGTGTTAATACAAAGGCACTTCAGTGGTTGGTGCATTTGGGAACAGACTTCCCTTAATTTGCTTAAATGGAGGACATCTTTGTAACTGCATTAAAAAGAGGAGACAGCTGCATCTCCCATTTCTCCTTCCCCTCATCCTCCCCCCGCCCCTCCTTCCTCTCTCTGACGTGCGTCTAACTCTGAGCATCAACACCAAATCTAAACCAAACTAAACCCTCTAAACAAAGCACCACTTATTTTTAGTCACTCACTTGATTTGAATACTGGACAATATAATTTACATTTTTAAAAACCATCACAAACCACACAGTGCAGGGCGGACATCTGAACGCCTGAACTCCACGGCGCATGCCTGTGCTGTTTTCAGCACTAAATTTGACAATGACCTTCCCAAAATATCAGGTATTGCAGCTGTAGAGACTGACCCAAGCAGCACAGTCATACAGGACTGACCTGCGTCTTTGATATGACTCCAGTTAGAATTAAATATTCAACAGCTGACCTGTTTAAAGGCTCTGAGATGCTGTGACAAATGTGAGGAAATGATCACTTCTAACTATATCTGCTCAGCCCAAACAAGACATTTCAGGACACACTGACACCAAAACCAGGGAGAAAACTTGAAAACTGGTTTTGACTCTCTGACCTGCCAGCCGTCGCTCCCGGACATTCCTCCACAGCAGGTCCCAGGCTCTGGCCGTGGAGTCCCGCAGCTGCTCGCTGATCGACCGCCGCAAATGAAGCGTGGCAGACTTTGGCTTAGCTGTCATTGCGGTGCCACCGGACGCACATTCCCGCACCGAAAGCAGCAGTTCGCCTGCCCTCGTAAATCCTCGGTGTGCTCACTATGATTCCGATGAGTGAGGAAAACCAACAGGAAACCGAACAATCGACCAATCAACCAAGCCACGGACCGGCTGCTGCTGGGACGGTGCGCCTTGGCTGCTGCGTCCTGCTGCCGCAATGCTCGTCACTGCCTCACCTGGAATAGGAGCTGCTCTCGCTCTGCGTCACCCTGTCTCCAGCAGCACAGGCAGCAGTGGATGGAGTCTCCTCTTTTAACTGATGCAGCGTTTTCTCCTCTTCTCCTCCTCCTGCCTCCTGCCCTGAGCTTCTGTTTGTGTGACGGAGGTACAGAAATGTTTCATCACAACTTCTCTTCATGGGAAGGCTGGACCTCTGACAGAGCAAGCCAGATGTGAGAGGCGGTTTCCCCCACCCCCGATGTGCAAGACTCTCTCTCTCCCTCCCTCTCTCTCTGTAGCATACACACACACACACACAAACTGTCTCTCGCTGTGAGGATATTCATAGACATAATGCATTCCACAGCCCCTTTTCCCAACAATAACCATCGCAACTAAGTCCCTAAACCTCACTCTTAACCTTAGCTAATTTAAACCCTATCACAACAACCATCACAATAAATCACAACTCCAGAAAGTCCTACTGGAAAATCAGTCACCTCACAAGTCAAAGTCAAAATTATTTGGAGTCAAACTTCAATTGCATTCCCTCAAAAAGACCAACACTCACAGGGAGATGCTGCAGCTATTCTTGTTCACACACTTCCTTTCTTTGTCCCGATGCTTAAGGTAAAAAATGTGGGGATTT